CATGTTCTTCACCTTCCTGTCCTCCAGATTCAAGGGCAGTGCCCTGCGTACGACCAGGGAGACCCCACCGTGCTCAGGCCCCACCAGACCCAGACCCACCTGAACTGCTCATAACCTCAGGCCACTGGGCGTCCTGTTCTCTCTCTCTCCATCTCCTTCTACGTCAGGGCCTCAGTGCCACCTCCCCGACCTCCGGCTGAAGCTGCCACGCTCGGGGCTGGCTGAGAGTAGCAGCCCCCACCCCGTCCACTGGGAGGGAAAAGGTTGTTAAGGAAACATAATGCTGTTTCCCCACCTCTTAGAACCTAAAGCAACAGTTTTAAAAAGCACCTTAATTTATTTCTAAATAGAGACAAACATAGCATTAAATCATTATCAGACATGAGAAAAGCAAAGCAGCTCATCTGGTTTGCATTTGACGCCATTTAGTTAAAAGCGGCTTTCAACAGGGTGGGTGGCGGGAGGAGCGGGACGGAGGGAATAAAATACCACTACTGAGAAATGCCCTTGATGGAAATGATAACGTTCCCTTTGAAAGATGGCCCGTCTTTGTGCGGGAGAAAGCAGCGCTCAGCTCGGAGCCCTTAGCCCTTATCATTGGGCAGATCCGCGGCTCCGGAGGCTTCCAGGCTCCGCTGCAGGGCTGGGCTTTCTCATGGAAATCACCCGACCTGCAGCGATGCCAGCTGTTCCTCCAGGCTGGCGACTGGGAAGTCAGAAGTAAATTAAAATGCTAGTCCAAGAGCAGGGCATCGGCTCGACATTCTGGGGCTCATAAAGGAAGGGACAAGGCCCATCTTTTGCAACCCAGAGCACACAGCGGACTTGGGCTGGGGTCTGTGCCCAGCAGAAGAGCCCCCCTCCCAGAGAGTCCTCTTCACATGAAGGAACAATGGGACAGCCAGTAGCACACCCACAGGGGGGTCCAGCCGGGGAGAAGGGATGGCACATTGTCCTGCACAGTTCCCTGAGTGGCTGGTGGCAGCCCCTGAGCCAGGCTCCGAGCCCTCAAGCTGCCCCAGCCAGGGCAGAAGGAGCCCCCTGTGGGGCGGAGGCAGCAGGAGACATGCCACGGCAAGTGGGGGGCTTGGGAGGGAGGGGGTATGTGGAGGGTGGGAGTGGAGCAGCTCCAGGGGTGACCGAGGGCCTGGTGACCAGGGCCAGGGGAGAACCCAGGGAGGACGCCTGCCCAGCCCAGCCCCCAGCTTCTCCCTCCAGCCCACGGGGCCCATGACCTAGCACAGCCCTCACCTGCTCTGGCCTTGACCCCTCACCCCTCCTCTCCCAGCTCTTCCTCTGCCGGTTCCCCGCCACTCCCTCTTCTGCTCGATGCCACCTCCTCAGAGAGGTCCCAACCTCCTTCCCTAAAATAGAAGCCTCTTCTCCAGGCCCTCAGCCTGCTTCTCCTCGCACGCACGAGCCTTCAGCACCACCTGACAGGACAGGACAGACACCTTCCTATTGTGGACAGCCCCCCAAGGGCCAGCTTCTGGGTGGCATGAGTCCAGGGCAGAAGAGTGACAGCAAGTGATGGCCAGTGCGGCTCCTCTGGCCGGCTGCACCTCCTCCCTCCCCCGCGAGCTCACTGCCAGGCACCCAGCACCTGCCCCTCACACCTGGGGACATCTCCACTCGGTGCTGCGGTTCTCTCCTCCCCATGTGGGGGTAACAAGGCAGGGGGGTGCTGTGTGGGGCAAACCCAGCTTCTAGGGACAGACGCATGTCATAGAATACACCACATGGGAGCCCTGTGGGCAACAGTGGACCAGCTTGATGGTCACCCTGTCTCGGGCACCTGGGGCTGAAGGCGCCCGAGGAGCCAGCCCCCTAGCCTTCACTTCACAGACCGGCCGGGGCTAAGTGGGGGCACGGGGACAAAGCGACTCCCGGTGGCTCCTCTTCTGGGAAAAGTGGCAGTCCCTTGGTTCTCCAAAATGAAAAATTCACCTGACAAAGAGCTTCTGCAGAGCAGGCAGCGCAGCCTGTCTCCCTTGCAGGCGGGAGCTGAGCCAGCTCTTGGAAGCCTCTGGAAGTGGGAGGAGGTGGGGTTGGAAGTGCCCTGTGCCCTCTCCTCCCACCCTGCTCAGCCAGGAGAGGGAGCAATTAGGCCTCTGGAATCGCCACTCTTCTAAAAGGCACCCAAGCTGCGTAAGTGACTTTCCAGTGGGCGCCGCCCATCCCAGTCCAGGGTATTCCTGTCTGGGTTTGACAGCGCCTTGGGTGGGGAGCTCGGAGCCACGTCCAGGAAGCGTTCTCAGCTTAGCAAGTCCCAGGCTGGAGGAAAGCAGCCCAGGGACAGCAGCGGCACTCACTCAGCCCTGCCACCACTTGGAAGAGGGACTCAAAACCCCGACCTTCTGCCTGGAGCTTCACAGCAGATATCAGGAGCATGGCGAGTGGCAGAGAGCCAGAGATCACTAACTGCAGGGAGGGTAACCGTTACAAAGAAGCCCCAAATGCATGCACATTGCATGGAGAGTGAAGACCTTCTATGACCACAACAGAAGGACCAGTGTCCTTTTCCATGGTCTTGAGAAGCCAGGCTGCCAAGGTCACCTGCGACATTGACCAGCCCCACGGAGGCTAGCCTTCACTTCCCACCCCACTCAGGGTCTGCCCGCAGTGTGGCCACAGGACAAACAGCTCTCAGAACATCCTGCCTGGGGAGCATGGAGCCCTGGAGTAGTGGGTTGCTTCTGTATCATGAGGCTCCAGGCCCAGGCTTTCCCGCTGACCCACTGACCCACGGACCCACCCGCAGACTCCTGTCTCTCTCTCCTAATTCTCCAGCAGCCTGACTCCTCCTTGCTCACCCTGGGCTCAGGCCTCCTATCTGAGTGGTCACTGGTCCTGTAGCATGACACTTCTGGCTGGGATTTCTGCAAGACACGGAGAAAATGGTCCAGTCACCCTCCCCAGCAAGAAAGCAGAAACAAATGGAACATAAAGACTTCATGATCATATCCATACACATTGCTTTAACATCATCTATTAAGCTAAAACCTGAGCATTCCGCCAGCACAGCTCATCGCCCGTCATGGGCAGCTGCCATTCTCAGGACCCTTAATGAGAGCCATGCAGCGTTGCAAACAGCAGACCGAGACCTGTGCTCTGGGGACCACCTCACCCTCACGCCACACGCTGGGGAGGGGCAGGGCCTGGGCTAGAGCAACACGGAATGGACAGCAATGGATGGGCAGCCCAGAAGCATGGAGACAAGACCTTGCCAGTCACAGTCACACCTTTGTTGTACCAGTAGACCTGGCAGCTATAGGAAATGAATACATGGATGTGTGCAGAAAAGTGGGCCCAGCTTCCAGAAAGTAACTTTAAGGGGAGGGATCTGCCCCTTGTTGGGCCCTTCCTGCTGACTAAGCTGTAGCTGTGATGGCAGGAGCTGCAGCAGCCATCTTGGGACATGAGGTGGAAGTAATGTGATGAAAATAAAATGTCAAGAAAGAAGTCTGGCAGCAGAGCAAGGTGGCACTCCACCCCCGCCTGGGATAATCTGCCGGGGTTTCCCAATGTCCATCTTGCTTAGGACAGTGTTATCTTGGGTTTTCTCACAGCTGAACCACATGTAACCACCCTGTCTAGTCTCCCACCTTACCTCTCTTCTGCGTGCGTCTAGGCCAGCTCCAGTGTATTCCCCACGTCACTGCCCATCTTCTTGCCAAAATGCACCCAGTATCAAGTCTCTATCCCCCACCCTGCTGCCTGCTTAGAAACTTTCAAAAGCCTCCTGATGCTTTCCAATAAAGATAAAAATCCTCATTGCGGACCTCACTTTGCATGAGGGACAGCTTCTCGGGCTGGGCTCCGGCCCGCTGGGCCTTCCTTGGAATGGGCACACCATGCCCCTCCCCCAGGGCCTTGGCCCTCCCTGCTGCTCCCTCTGTCCAGGAGGCTTTCTGTCCCCCGCTCCTCTGAGAAGCCCCCCAACCTGCATCTTCTCACAGGAGGCCTTGCTTCTCCCTGCTCCAGGCCCAGGACGATGGCCCTGAGGCCATGAGATGGCAGGGAGCACGGTGCAGGCAGGCCCAGACACCGAGGAGTGAGTGAGTGAACCTCCTGGTCTCCAGGCTGTCTCAGGGAGCTTCTTAGAAGGCAGGAGATTTAGGTTTTAAAAATGTTAAAAGAACAAATCTATAACGATTGACTTTCCTGCCCATGGTTGTATCTCCTTAACTGTGGCGGCCTCCAGTTCAGTGTGGACTCCCTGTGAACACATGCTGGACACTTGCTCCCGCCCGCAGGGCTCGATGACAGTGGCTTCTTTGCACTCCCAAGAGACTCTTTCACAGGGACTGGTCATCTTACAATTCACTTGTGTAGGACTGAACATTGGGGCCTCCCAAAAAGAAAATCAAACTCCCTAAAAAGGAAAATACGCGCCAGCCATTCCTGTTGGGTCACGAGAGAAACCAGAGGCTGCTGTCCAGGTCTGCAGGCAGCGGAGCTCGGTACAGTGTCATCACAAAGCAGCGCCCGGACCCAAAGATGCTGCTCCATGCCTCCCCCCAAGGCTTCTCCACTCCCCTGCTGGCAAGGGACACAAGAAAAAGCCACAGTTCTGACCGGCATAACCCAGCCGAAGCGCACAGGACACTTCTCTGAAAGACAGAGACTGCACCACGATTTGAGCACTGCATTGAGGCAGCAGAGACAACAGCCATGACTGATTTTCTTTGTGAAAAAGGAACATTAATCAACAGAAGTCCCACTGGGACGTGTCTCTCTGTAAGGTCACTGCCCAGGTGCGGCACGTCACTGCAACTCAGAAGAATGGGGACAGCAGGCCTGTGCTCCCACCTCCCGACCACTGCCATCTGAGCAGCTGTCCTCGTGTTCTCAGCCACCCTCCGGTCAGGCCTCAGTGGACGCCCCATGAGGGTGTGGGGCCCCGGCTACATCTTCTCAAGGGACAACCAGGCTTATGCTGTAGACTGAAACCTGACACTACGTCAGCAGAAAGCACTCAAGAAAACTGACAAAAGAGAAAACGTGTAAAAGATGAGTATTCCATTCAATAACTTCAAAAAAGATACAAAATAATACCAGTATAAAACATTGCATAGCAAATAATATATCGTGTTTGTACAAAATCCAGCAAGGAAGACGTGACTTTATCATTTCGGAATTATTCATAAAATACATTCTGCTAAAAGCAAATCAAAACAAAGTCACAGCGGTGACAACCTCCGTGAGCAACAGGGACATGAAGCGGGTCCCACGCGCACCTCATAGCTCAGCCTTGTGGTCTTTGTTGCTGTCACAGCAGCCAGACTGGGTGCAGGTGCTACGAAAATGGTCACAGGCCATGCTCACAGGTGACCTGGGGGGTCGCTGTGGTCAAACGCTGCAGAGAGGCCAGGACTAGCCTACAGAGCAAGAGCAGGCACACCAGGGACAGGGCAGCCCCTCGAGGCCACGCCCTCACTGGTAGATGACCTTCACGCAAAATGTCTCTTCATTTTTGTCTTCGTGGTCGTTGATGTAAATCAGAATCTCCTCCTCTCCCGCTCTCTGACCGGGTGCAAACTGAAGGCCGATGGTGTACGTCTCTCCTCCTCCGACCTGCAAACAAGTGCCAAGATGCGGCATGCACACTGAGTGCCCCGCTCTCTTGTCCAGCCACTTCTGGGCATGGAATGTGTATTTCCAACAGGACTGCAGGCCACAAGAGCTGACGAGTGACTGTGGGCCCCTTGGGTGCATCTGAGGCCCGCCTGAGACTCCAGCACCAGGAGAAGGATGAGAGATGGCACTCACCCGGGTGACCCGTTCTTCACCCTCGGAGGCACGTTTATTTTCTTTACTACGTTTTCCAGTATTATTCTGGTAATGCTGCTCTTTCCCACTCTCGGGAGAAGCTTCACTAAATCTCTCAGGCCATCAGGTGTCCGCTGGCCGTCTGAAGCACTTCCCCAGAGTATGGGATGGCACTTGTCCCTGTCCCAGGACTGTCTGAGGACTGCCATTATTCCACAGAATCACTCCTAAACATAGCGGGAACCCCCCCACCCCACCCCGTTCAGAGGTCCCCTGGTGCTTGCCCTGACGCATCACCTGAGAGCCCCCGCCATGCACAGCCCCAGCCCCCACCTGGAAGGAGTCCTCCTTGAAGTGCAGCAGGTCAGGGTGGTCGCTGTGCAGGTGGAAGGTCCTCCGGGAGGGGTAGGGGTTGGTGTAGGTGATCCGCTTGTGGGCGCCCTTCCCTTCACCCGCAGCCAGTGTGATCTCAAAGGCCTGCGGAGGGAGCGACAGGGAAAGGCTGTGGCCAGACTCGCAGTAACAGCTGTTGGCCCTTCTCCAAGGATTTCCTGAGCCTATTCTGTGCCACGTGTGGTCCCAGACACGGGGCACCTCCCCATGGCTAAGACGGACAAGCTCTCTGAAGCTTCCAGCCCAGAGAGGGGACAGACAGCTGAGGAGCAAACAACCCCCCACCCCAGCCTCACACAGGACCCTGGAACTGGGCAGCCCGAGTCATAACCAGGTGACACCATGTCACCCATATCACATGGCCCAGACAGGGGCCACTCAGTGCCTTGGCAGAAAGTCCCATCCCCTCAGCATGCCTGCCACTGTACAAACCTTGGAGATGAGTGGCTGGCGGCAGGAGAGGCACACGAGCCACGAGGCCACCAGCTGGTGGTAGTCCACGTCCACCAGGTTGAGGCGCACGAAGCGGCTGCCAGCCCTCCAGGGCCTCAGGCCAATGTGCAGGTCCTGCACCCCGTGAGGTGCCAGCACAAAAACCCCACTGGGGTCCGTCTTCAAGGACAGGAGAGGCAGGTCAGGGCACAGGCCTTGACTGCCCAGGCACCATCAGCCCCGTTGACCACAGAAGCCACAGGTCACGAGGTGGCTCAGATTCCACAACTCAACTCACCCATGGACAGCCCACATCTGAAGCCACGACCCCACCTTGACTCCAGCATCCCAAGGTCTCAGGTCTGCACTGGGCAGGGCCCTCCTCCCACTGCAACCAGTCCCCAAGTGCCACCTTAACAGAGAGGACTGAGACAACCTCTGGGTTATGGCACCACCACAGGCAGGGAACATAAGCTGTCCCCGTTACCCAGGCATGTCATCGTGGCTTCGCTAATTCCAGCATTCCTATTAATATTTACCTTTCAACAGCCCTGAAAATTGGCCTTTAGGATTTGTTTATGTGTCACTCATCCCACAATGACACGTCTCATAAGAGGCGATTTTAGTGGAGACTCTGGTAAGAGCGAGCCCAGTCGCTGAGGTGCTGGAAGAGCTGCCATCAGGACCAGCCACCGAGCTGCAGCCAGTCCCCCCACCCCCCAGAGCTGACATCCCGTCTCCAGGGTGGGGAGGGAAAGGCTCCGAGCAGCCAAGAGACCCAGCAGCCCCAGAAAGGTGGTACCTTCAGCTCCCAGGGGTGTGAGGTGAACGCTCTCACTTTCCTCACAGTCTGCATCCCCCGAAGGACAAGGGACAGGCGGGTCAGCTGGCCCGTGACACAGGACACGTCCACACGCTTCAGGGAGTGCAGGTACACCTGCCATGTCTGCACAGGCACCGCCAGCCAGTGATCCCTGCAGCGGGACAGGAGCCATCTGCACTCGTCCCCGAGGGTGGTGGCAACAACCCACGGGAGGTGGACAGGGTCTGCGGAGGGTGGGGAGCTGGGAGGTCGCACAGGGAAAGCCCTGAAGACCGGAGCCGAGAGAGAGGGCTGGGGCCCAGCTGCTCCCACCCCCTGGCTGCCCACCTGCTACCTAAGCCACGGCCCTCAGGGTGGGGCTGTGCCACCCAGGACACTACCCAGCAAATGACAAATGATGTCAGCTTTGGCTAAATACAAAAACTGGACAAGCTCCAACCCCAAACCAGATGTCCTGAGGAAAAGCCCATGAGCAGCATGACAGGGGTTGGAAGTCATGCAGGCCCGAGCACCGGGAGCCCCTGTGTCAGCATCTCAGTGCTCGGACCCAGTGGCTTTACTGTAAAGTGGAGCTGGGCGACCCTTGGTGCTGACTGCAGGTTCCCCACCCCGACCCCGTTCTCAGAAACGCTGCAGGAAGTCTTCCAGCTCGCACCAGCTGTAAAGGGCTCTCAGAGAGCTGGGAGACAGGATTTAGGAGGAACCGTAGGAGGAACCGCAAAGGTGCCAGTCACTTAAACTGGGTGGGAGAAGTAAGAGGCAATTCAGGCATACAGGACAACGACCGGCCACCTTCCCTCTCCCCAGGGGGCCACAAGCCTGACTCCCTCAGACGCTCAGGTTGGAGACTTGGTAAGAAGGCAGTGACCAAAGGCTGCCAGGTTGTTCCTGGGCACTGTCTACCTCATTTCTTTCCTGGGTGGGCACAGGACACGCCCAAGTCCCTCCGGCTGCCTGCACAGCGCTGGAGCAGAGAGGACACCCTTTCCCAGGTCCCTGCTGGCCCTGGACTCGGCATCTCACCTTGCAGAGCACAGGCATGACAACTGTGTTGTCACCGGCGGCCGCCAGGCTTCCTCTACCACCACTCCCAGATCACCATGGGGCTGGCGGGGCTGGCACTTACATGTAGATGATGACAAAGAAGTCTTTGATCTCCGGGCTTGGACCACTGGCCACCTTCAGAAACACATCCCGTGGCTCCCCGGGGCCCTGCCAACCAGAGGATGGCGTGAGTGCTGCCTGCGTTCTCAGCTCTATCCGACCCAGCCCAGCCCCAAATCGCGCATCTGCTGCAGCTACAGCAGGTGTGAAGCAGCCCCACACCCACAAATGCGTTAACTTTCTGTACAGTCAGAATTCACTATTTTGTTCATTGCAAAAGAGAGAATCATTGGCTTCTTGGTTTTACGTTGATCTCAGCTACTATGTTCTGCAGGTTTTGTCTAGTTCCCTCACCAGTCACAGCGCAGTCACTGTCACCCTCACACGCGTGATTAACAAGCACCTTAATCACCATTCACTTTGCCCACTTTGCTTCATGCCTCTTTTTAACTTAAATTCAGGTGATCAAAGAACAGATCTGCTTGCAGAAAAAACAAAAACTTGCTCGTAAAGCCCACAGTTGTCAAAACAGCCCTTTAGCACCTTGGAAAGAAAGCCCTGGCCTGACACCGACAGTGAAGAGGCTGTGGGACAGGGTAGGACCATGGGGGTGAGGCTCGCTAAGAGGAGCTGCCCGAGACGGGCCATACACACGCACCACATTCTGGGTCTCACAGATGACGTTCGGGTCGCTACAGCGCACATGGACTGGGGGGTCATCACCAGGCATTCCCACGGGAGCTCCTGGAACAGGGGAAACGTCAGACAAACAGATCTCTTCTCGGCAGGACCGGCCCACGTCATAGATGGCTCTGTGTGTCCCAACACCGACTAGGACAGGCCCCAGTCCCAGGTGCTCAACCAACCCCTGCTGGGAAATGGACACTGTGCTGCCCTCCGCCCCCAGTGCAGCACCTGTGCATGGGGCACAGCTGTATAGGCACTGGCACCTCCACCCTGACACGGCACCCCCTCGGGGAAGCATCGAAGGGAAGAACCAAAAAGCAAACAGAAGTGCTACCCGGCAGGGAAGACCTCGCTGTGCTCTAAAGGGCAGCCACCAGAAAGTAAGTGAGCCGTCAGGTGAGGAAGTAGCGTTCCTCACTCCAGGCCCACCCCCTCATCTGACAGGGCTGTGATGTTTAGGAGGGTGGAAACAGCTGCCACGTGTGCACCCGTCATCTCAGAGGACAAGAAGGTGGCTGTTTCAAACCCAAGGGTAGAGTTTATGACGTGCCACACGGCTAATGTAACAGCACCACGATGACTCCACCTGCCACGCCTGTGGAGACACCTTTTCTGATCCGTGGAACCTACAAGACACCAGCCCAGGAGAGCACGGGACCTGCCTGGAAGTGTGCGCCAGGGGGGCAGGCGGATGGCCTTCTTCAGGAAGGTGAGCTCTGGGTGGCAGAAGCGGAAGACCTGGTCCACCACGTGGGGCTGTGGCTCCACGGTCAGGCAGAGCACAGCGAGGGGCTTGCCACGGCTTGCTCGGAACACGACCTGCAAAAGAGCAGCCATGCCTGGCGTCAGGACCGGCACTCGGGTCCCCTCGGAACAGGCGTGCCCAGCACAGGGAATGCATGTGGACATGCCACTGTTACTTCTCTTAGGTAAGGCACACTCCTTAAGTCCTGGTGAACAGGCTTGCTGTCTCACGGTAAGAAACTACTTCAGCCATAATTCCAGCGTGCGCACGGGAAGTCATTCTGGAAGGATCTCGACACTAACCTCTTCAGGTCCTATGGGTGCTAATGGGGGTGCCATGTTCATGGATGGGCACACTAGCATGAGCTCACTGAATCCAGATGGTAAAGAAAGGCTGTGCCTAAACCAAAAGGGCTAGAAATAGAAACTTTTCTGTTTTTAACAAAAGTTACTAAAAAACTTAATTTGGACAAGTGATATAATGGCCATCCTTATTTCTTCACACACACACTCGCGCATGTGCACATGCAGAAACACATGTGCACAGAGAGGCACACATGTACACACGTGTACATGCACACACGCGTGCTCACACACAAACTGCACACGCACACAGAGGAGGAGTGGGGGAGGGGGAGTAATGGGAGCAAGACCTTCTGAATATAACCTGTTTTATATTTTGATTTTGAACTCGTGTAAATGTTTTTAGTTGATTTCTTAAATCAAAAAGAAAATAAAAGAATCTCTATATACTGAAAACAAACTGAAACAAATCAAACTATATATCAAGCTGATTATACAACTACCCAGAGAAAGATTTTTTAAGTAAATTTAAACCACAAGACAAAAAGGATGTAGGGACAAAAACACCACTCAGAAGTCTTGAACTGCAGTGGTCCTGTTTGTGGTTGGCAGTGATAACTTGAGAAAAGCACATACATGCACACCAGCTGGTGCAGCCAGCAGCATCAGGGCCAAAGGGGCTTAACTAGTGTGATCAGCAAACTCGTTATATACAAAAGGAAGGGGACAAACACGTAAATATATTGTAGAAGATAACGGGAGCCAGGTTTCTCACTAAAACGTCAAAAAAAGACAGCAGGAATAAATCCCATGACGCTGGACCAGTACTAGAAGAACTGGCGTGAATTCACGGTCTTTGACATGACATAGATAGAAACAGAAGTCTGTGCACACACAGGCACATGCTTCTTAGGTCTCTCTGCTAGGCAGGACTAGCAGCAATGACACCTAGCAGTAATGAGCACTCTGAGCACCAGATTTTGGTTTCTAAATATCTTCTCCACTAAAAAGAACCTTAACTAAATGGCTGGTTCCAGAAATACAAGACTAGCCTGGAGCATCTCGTTGTGCCAGGCAGTAAGGGAGGGCTAACAGAGTGACAGGGACGTGTCAACAGGACACAGGAGCCAGCTTGAAGGGGCTGCCACTGCTCAGTCAGGGACAATATGAATATGAGCAGCAAAATAAATAATGATAGTAACAAATTTAATAGAATAGAAATTCACAGATACAAAAATCAATAAAATAAACAGAATGAAGGAAAAGCTCGATCTCAGAACACTGATAACAAATGCAGAAGCAACGGCCAAATTGGAAAGTCACCAAAAGGCAACCATCACACCAAGTACTGATTCGGGCAAGATCATCAGTGGATGCCAAGACATAGAGGGTAAAAGTTTTATGAGGAACAGGATATTCACATAGTCTCAGAGTATCTCCCAACAAAATACTTATTTTCTAATCACTAAGTATAAAATACTTTGTAATTTTACAGGGAGGAAACGTGGCAGATGCCATCTTAAATAAATGAAAGAGTTAACATCACCAGCAACGGGACAGATTAACATCGTGTCCCTCCCAACATGACGTTCTGAGAAGAGAGCAAAACGTCTGTGGTGTCCTGCCCAAAATTCATAACCTGAATCTGACCACAAGCAAATGTCACGCAAGCCCCACTGAAGGCATTCGACAAGACAAGCAGCCTGAACGTCTGAAGGACAGTTCGGGCCACATGCCAGGCAGGGCCGCAGGACACACCCTGAGCCCAGGCAGTAACTGCTGAGCACTGGGACATGTGTGACCCTGTGATGAGATTACACCAGTGCCAATGTCCTGCTTCTCATGGCCCCACCTTGGTTGTATAGGAGAGTGTCATTATTTTTAGGAGAGACCAGCTCTTAAGTTCCATGGAGAAATGGGGCACTATGTTGGTAACTTATTCTCAAACTGTTCACAAAAATATATGCATCAATATAGAGAGAGCAATAAGGCAAATGCAGTAAATGCAGTAAGCATAACAACCAGGAGGTCTGCATGAACAATGCATGGGAGTTCGTTGCACTATTCTTGTGACTTTTCTCTAAGTTTGAAATTATTTCCAAAAAAAATTTTTTTTTTTAAGGCACAGATGCTAACCTGAATAGGATGGCAGTGGCCAGAGAAAGAACAGTTTTATCATTTAAAGAATAATGTCTACCATGGAACAGGAAATATAAATATAAAACCCATGAGTTCACAATGAGATGACAAAAAACCAACCATCTTCGGAGGCACACATCAGTATTTTGAAAGTTGATAAGTAAAGGGAATGAATCTAACATTCACCCTGACTTTCCAGTACAAAGTTGATTCCAGAGTAGCCAAACTGCCAATGGGAAAGGTCTGGTTTTAGAAGAATCACAGGAAGGAGGCCAGAATTGGAATTTCACCATTTTCCACCCCTGATGGAGTAACGGGTGTGGGCCACGAGCCTGCAGGTCCTACAGCAAACACACTGGGCGTCAGCATCTGAGCCCACGATGACCACCCACCACCATGGCCTCCGAGGGTGACATGGTCAGCCACACTCAGTGACTCCAGGGACAGAGCACACAGGACAGCAGGTCCTGACCCAAACAAACCAACTGTAAAAAGGCTGGTGAGCACAGCCTGGACACCAGACAATACCGAGGACCTGTGCTAATGGGGGGCAGTGATGATGGCACGCGGTCAGGTTAAGAAGGGTCCTCACCTGTCAGAGACGCATACTGAAGTCATGTGGGTAATCTAATAACATTTCTGGGGTTTTCCTTAAAACTCCAAATTCATGTGAAGGGATCACAGTTTCAACATAAAGATTACTTTTAAGTGTAAACGTTTGAAATCTTTCCTGAACGTCCCTTATCTGAATAGAGCTCAGCCTCCTGAAAGGAAGCCAGCAGACTGCCCGTCCACAGTAGCATCAAAAAGACAACAGACCCTTCCACACCTTTCCTCTGAAGACCTAATTCTCGCCCCTTTTTGTTAAGTTGGCATATAAACCTTACCTCAGGTATTCAGCAACTTACTCATTTCTAAGCACTCCCATGGGCATGTGAAAATAAGTCTTGTTTTTTCTCCTGCTCATCTGTCTATTGTCAGTTTATTTGCAGGCCCCTGAGCATTCAGACCCAACATCTGGTGACAAAGATGGGACGGTTTAGACCTCCCACACGTGTAAGGAAAAAGCATTCTCCTCAGAGTTAATCTACAGCACTAAATACAGAGCAGACATACTCCTTAGACAAAGGCAAAGCTGAGACTCGCATTTAAATAAAACAAGTTTTCGCTGGTGATGGGGCCTGGTGGGCACAGGGGCCAGAGCCAAGCACAGTGCGCCTCAGGATGGCAGGGCAGCCCTCGGTGCCACTCCCTCCCATTGGAACATTTGGTCTGAGCTCAGTTCTCAGCATTGAACACTACTCTCAGGGCAGGGGAGGAGGACCACAGTTTTGTTTTTGCTTTTTACTTTCGAACTACTACAAGAGGCATTTGTCCACCAAAACAAATCACTTCGGAAATTCCTACAAACAACAGGTCTCAAGATCCTCCTGAGAGTGACTTACCAGCGGCTGTTGAGAAGCACATGCCTTATAAACTTGGCCTTCCCTCAGGAAGGTAACTAACGATTAGTCTTATTTTTGGAAAGAAACTTTCCACACTCACACACACACCGACTAGGGAATGCCATGGGTCAGGCTCATGAGGTGGCCACGAGTGGTGACAGCTACAGCTCCAGGACGCAGCAGCCGCTGGGACCACTGGGCTTCACACCAGAGCACCACGGCTGCACAAGGCAGGTGCCAGGGCGCCATCTCCACGCTGGACACCCAGTTGGGCTGCGCCAGCATCTGCACAGAGCTGCTGCTGCCCTATTAGGACAGGAAGAAAGTCCACCTCCAAGGCCCCTGCCCCCATCCCAGTCCTGCCCTAGACCCAGCCCCTCCCCTCCCCTCTAGGAGGGCAGAAAATTGCAGAAGGGTGAGGCCCAAAAAGGCCCCTCCATTAGAGTGAACCAATGATACACCTTGCCCAGTCTGCAGGGAGGACACCTGGCTGGCACCGTGAGACCATGGAACACCGGGCATCCGTTTGTCTCCTGCCCCTTTACCTTGGCATGTTTGGTGGGCATCGTGCTAGACTTCCAAGTGGACCCAGCATCTGTGCCCTCCTCGGAGTGCAGCTCAGCGGAGGCCTGTGAGAAAGCAATGAGCACGAGTGGTCCATGAGGTGCAATCACGGGCACCCAGCACGTGTGCACACAGGAGCAGCCGCCACCTGGGCTAAGGCCCCCCGCACACCTCATCTCCTCCATTCTAAGCGCCAGGCAGCTCCTGCTACTGACCAGCCTCATGACACCAGAGAGGAAGCCAAGGCTGTCAGGAGCTACTGAAAGGGCACACCCAGCTTGTAGCCAAAGCCTGAGGTCCCAGCCCCTGTCCTTACGCCTGTCCAAAGAGCCGGCATGGACATCTGTGAGCCTCAAGGAGTTCCTCACGCTCACCTGAAGCTGCGGTCCTCATCCTACAGAACTGACCTCAAAAGGCACATGCTCCACACCCCTCCCCAACCTCCCGCACACGTGTTTGACTCACACACGCTCTACACAACACCTCCAGTCCTAAACCCCACCTTGTGTAGAGGAGCCAAGGCAATAGTCACAGGGGCAAACAACACTAACTTGAGGGTAGAAAACACCAGAATATTTCAACCCATTAGCTCTACTGAGGTTTACAAAAGCCTTTTGTACCGATTCAGTAAAGAGAACCGGGAGGACACAGTACCCGCTTGCAGACACCCACAGGCAGAAGGAGAGAAGGCTCTAGGCTGCTGAGCACAGTGCAGGTGCCAGCACTCTCAAGGAGTGACAAGCAAGCAGATAAGGCCCAGAGGCTGAGCACCTGCCCTGGTGCAGGGGAGCACTGTCGAGACCTGACAGCCTTCTCAGTCCCCCCACCACTAAACCCCAGTGTGCCCAATGTCCAGCACCTGCGCCTGGGCCAGCTGCCCCATGGAGAAGCTCTGGTACTTGAAGGGGATGTGGATGACCTCCCGGGGGCGCAGATAGAGCTGGGGGGACAGGCTGCCCTGCAGGCGGAACATGTCCTCCTCCACCGGTGTGAGAAGGCCAGCAGCATCTTTGAGGTACCGCCACTCCCGGCTGTCCAGGACGACACTAAGAGGGGGAAGGGACACAGCTGAGGTGCTAACACTGCTCTTTCCAGGAGTGCCCTGTGGGGAATGCGCCCCATCCACCTGAGACTGGGCCTCAGTAGAGGGGGAAGAAGCAGCTCAGCCTCCACAGGACGTGCCCGGTTCCATCCAACACAGGCCTGTGCAGGGGGACGGGTGGGAGGGGCTGCCTGGAGCTCTCACCTAAGCTCAGGATTGTCGATCTCAATGGTCACCGTGTGCTGCGTATTGTGGGGGTTCTTGAGTGCAAACTCGAAGAACTCGGCCGTGCCCAGCGTGGCATAGAGTGTGTGGTGCGTGGTGATGGCCAGGCTCAGCACACTGGCAATGCTCTCAGCCTTGGTGCGCTCGCGGTAGGCGTCAATGACCTGCAGGTCCCGCAAGTGCTGTGCACGGACACTCTGCTGAGCCTGCAAACCAAGGGGCCAATATGGTGGACGCAGTCCCAGTACACTCTCCTCTGTGAGGGGCTTGGTCTGCTGGTCACCTACCCCACTCCACCCCAGAATACCAAATTTCTTCTGGAAAATCACCACCACTGCCTGCTTCCTTGACAATGTGGCTTCAGTGGCACTGGCCCACCCCTAATGTGGGGTGGGTCTCAACCAATGTTAGGACAAAGAACGGGCATGCCTGTCCCTCACTGGCTGTTCCCTGCATGTACAGGTCTGTGCAGCACCCTGGCTCCTCTCTTCCCTGCCCTGTAGCTGGCCTACCCCACAGGGGGCAGGAGGTCTGCCCTGCATGCTCTGAGACTCTCTTCGCAGCCATGAGGCTGGTGCCCGGGCACAGTGGGGGAGATTAAAAGCAGTGGTTTCAAATAAAAGAGGAAAGAATGGCCTCAAAACTAAGCCTGGTGACAGGGCTCACCCAGCCAGGTCCCCAGCATGGCGAAGGGAGCGGATAGCCAGCACGACACTGCCTCGGCAGGTCTTGGCTACCTCCTTCTTCAGGTGCCCAACAATTCCAGGGGCTCTGGCAACACAGATACACGCTACAGGCTGGAGACTGGCTTCTCCTGTGAGCCTTACACTAAAAAGTAGGGCCATCAGAGTCTGCTTTGCAAGATTTGAGGCCTAGAAGGGGCAACCCCCATGCTGGGGAGATGCCAGGCCACAGCTGCCCCAAGAACCCACTCGGCTGAGCAGAGACCCTCATGTCTCACACTGAGAGGCTGAGATGTTGGAAGGATGAGCTGACTTGAATGCCTCAGATTTGAACACAAAAGTTGAGGACAAATCATGGTTTCTGACTGCAGTGACTCTGGAGACTAACTTTCTGACATCCAGAACTCTGGCCTGTCCTTTGCAGGGATACTGAAGCTGAGCCTGTCACTTCTCCTGGGATTTGGAAGTGGGAGGTGGCCGTGTTCACACATGAGTCCCCTGGGCATTTTATCAGCAGAGCTTCTCAGGGTAGTGGAGCCTCTGTCAGTTGCACCGGACCACAGGACAGTCAGTCAGGATGAGAAAGGGAACCATGAGTGGCTTTTCCACCTTGCATGGCTCTGACCACTTCTAGCTGAGGGGACAAGATCCCTTCTGTCCACTCAGGACGAAACAGTGGCAGGCTTTTGGGTGTGGCCACTTGAAGATGAGAGCACAACTGGCCTACTACACTGGTTGCCCAAGACAGGGCACAGTGACGGCCACTCCCGATTGTACTGTGGACTCGAGGGTTACACGCGATGGGTAGGGACAGCATAAACCTGGGGTTGTGAGGAGGGCACCTTCTTGCCCACTCCTGTCTCCTTCCACACAGGACACTATGAGCTAACACCCCTGGCCTCCCTCCACCTGGCCCACCCACAGGAGGAGGGGTGGGTCTCCTGATTGGAAGGTTCTGGAGCATGAACAAGACAGGCACTGCCCTGCCTCTCCTCTATCCTTTGGGATCCACCTTCCTGCAGACACAGCCGCTGCTCACACCACTCCGGGCCGGGTGGTCAGCTCAGTAACAAAGATCCCACCTGTGGAGAAGGCCTGCCACTGCCTGGTGGTGCCCGTGACCAGGCAAGCTTATTTTTAAGTCCCAGGCTCAGTGTTAGAAAGCACACTTGCCTACAGACATAAGCCAAATCCCCAATGTCAGCTTCATTGATAAACAGCCACCAGTGAGACAGGGGTGACATTTTGGGCTCCATCTGCCACAATCCTATGTCATTTCTTCATCAACTCAAAGCCCAGGTGGGAAAGGGTGATGTTCCCGGGCTCCTGGGCCCCCCACGGTCCACATATCCCACCGCGGTCCACATATCCCACTGCAGGGCCCAGCACTGGCTCAGGCAGGGCCCATTGCCACATCAGGGCAGTGAACCACAGTGAGCCACTGGCCAAGATGTCCGGGAAGTAAAGCTCTCTCTTCCATGGCACTTGGCATGAGATGACAACACAAAAGTTGAGTCTAATGGGACCATTTTGCTACCATGAGTGGTTCCTGGAGCTGCTGGGACATCACTGCAGGAAGCTTGAGGGTGAAGCCAATACACAGAGGGCAGGGGGAGGTGGGGAGAGGCAGTCCCCGAAGACAGATGCAGCCTGGAGTTGGCACCACCCTGAGCTGTCCAGTCATTGCATCCAGACTCACTGGCTATGTGAAGAGAACTTAGCAGCAACCCATCAGCACCAGGCAGACTCGGTGCGTCGGGACATCTGCTCAACACAGAGCAGCTGGGCCGGAAACCAGAGCCAGGGCCCAGTGCATGCTGGGCTTTTTGTCACTTGCAGCCCCGCAGAACCCCCACACAAGGAGCTTAACCTGCCAGCCCTTTCTCCCAGGCCCAGCCAGGGTCTACAGGGAAGGGGGTCACCCCACAGGCCTGCGGCTTTGCACATGTGTAGTGGCTCCCACTGACTTATAGCAGTCACTGTGGGCCAGCCACTGTCCCGGGCACTGAGCACGTATCAGGCTGAGTGACCCTCATAAGGAAAGCACAGCACAGAGGGGCCAGTGACCGTCCCCAGGCATCACGGAGATTTGGATGCAGGGATCAGGATCCATGGTCTGTGTTCCCAGCAGCAGGCCAGATGACCTCCCGGCCGAGAAACCCTGGACAACAGGACTCCTGCCCCAGCTCCACCTCCCTCATGTCTGTACTGACTGTGGCGAAAACGACCCTGAAGGGGGAAGAGACCCACCCAGAGTTCTTGTCCACCCCCAACCACGACCTTCCGAGGCCAGGACTCCACAAGCACTAGTGAACTCATCGCACGCGCAAGACCAGGCGCTCTCTTCCCAAGGACTGGAGGAGTTGGGAGAACTCCTAGCCTTTCTTCAAAAGAAGGTTGTAAAAGCTCTTGAAGGAACAGGAACCTCCACATATTTGCTAAATCGAGTCACTTTCACCTCAAAATTCCACAGGGCTACCAACCCAGGAACCTTAGAATTTGGTGGAAAACTCTCTTGTATTTACCAACCCAACTTTCCAGATCCATTGCTGCGCTCAAAACAGGGTGCTGAGCCATCAGCTTCTCTACCAGAGCACACCGTGAGAGAGAGAGAGCTTCCAAGTTCACAACGCTGGTGGCGCCTTCCCTGAGGACTTGCCATGTGCCCGGCCCAACCACACCAAGGCGGGGCCTCTTAGTGTCCCACATGCCGGCAGACAGAACTGAGGCGGTCCACGCTGGGACCTCCAAAGACCACAGCCTCCAGCCGCACCTGCCCATGCCTCCCCACACCACGGCTCCCTGCCCAGCCCTGGGGCTCCCCGGCTCCCGTCCTCTTGCTGTGCCCTCTTCACCCCGCATCAGATGGACTGACCTCCTTTCTGCTCCCGCCCTAGACCCACAGCCAAGGGCAGGGCCCAGCTGCTCCATCCACAAGGCATCCTGTGAGCATCAGGGCCTTGCCGTCCACACACTCACCTGCCTTAATGGGAAAGGGACTCTCAGACGATCTTCCTCTCTCAAGGCCTCTGTGGCTCCTTTCCTCTGTAAACCCTTACGGTGCAACCATTCCCTCCTCCCATTTCTGAGTTGCAAAATATAAAAGGGTCTATTTAGATTTTCAGCCAAAAAAGGAAATTTTTCTGGTCAGAATTACACTGACAACCCAAAATACACATGTTAAGTGGTTCACAGCTCTGGCCCCCAAACTTGGAGAACCTCAGAATCACCTGCAGAGCTTTCTTAAAAACCCAGGCTCTGAGGGTGCCCCCCAAACCAACTGGAATCAGAATCTCCAGGGGTGAAGCCCAAGAATCCACTTTTATTAAAAGCTCTCCACGTAATTCTGACTTAAAAGTGTCCCTCAGTGGCTGAAAGAGTCCCATTCTCTTACACTCTGCAGCTGGGACTTGGGAGGAAGATAGAGGGACGACAGGCAGGTCTCACTGAGACCGGGGAAGGCGTACCAGCATGCTGGTCCTGCGGCCGCCGCCGCACTCTGCCCCAGCCTCCTGCAGGCGCACGGCCCTCATCCGCTCCAGCTTGCGCCTGCGGATGGCGTCCGCCTCGCAGCCGGCACTCCGGGGCCCCGCACTACCCGGTGGGTGGCTCAGCAGCACGGCGGCCAGCTCGCTGTCCACGTCGGCCAGCTTCTGTGCCTGCACCACACGCGCCGCTGTGGGGAGGGGCAAAGGAGGAGTCAGGGTGGGGTGTGACATGCACGTCCACTGCAGACATGGGGCAGGCCTCGTTGTTTTTGGCACGTCCAATCTGCGCAGCTTGAAGAGGCTGGTAGTGACGGTGACATTTTAACCTGGCCGTCACAGCAGCCCTCCTTTCACCAGCCCTAAAGCAAAAGGAATTCTGACTTGGTCCTTAGACACAAAGTCATCAATACACCATGAGATGATGTTCTAGGTGGAGAAAGGTCAGTGCTCTAGCTCCTGCTATCAGGATTTCATAGGGCCCACTAACTGCTCCAGGATTGACAGCCCTACTCACAGGCAACCCCTGCAGGGAGTGCCCCTGCCCACCACGACACCTTTCTGAGCTCTCAGAAGCATCATCACACTGAGTCCTCAAGCCCACCCATGTGGGGAGTCATGAGCCCCCGGTGCAGATCAGGCTTCTGGAGCTCAGACTGGGCCTGGCTCCAAAGCTCACCTCTAGACTCTGTGCCCAGTTGCCCCTGGACTGCCTGACCCCCAGGGCAGCCCGTCTCCTTTGAATGCCCTTTAGCAGATAAACAGAAGCCCACACGGGCCAGGACCTGGCAGATGGGTGAGCAGCCAGCACAGGATGCTACATTTCCTTCTGACACGAGAGATTCAGGACAATCTCGTGACCAGCACAGGCAGGACAGGTGAGAGGGGCTCATAGGACCTGAGTCCTTCCTGACTCTCAGGCACCTCCAGAAGTTTCCCACGGGACACGAGCACCAGCCCGCACTCTCCCAGCCTGGTTCCAGGCTCTCCATCGTCGGACCCCAGAAGCCCCCGAGGCGCTCCAGGTGGTAGGGAGCAGTTTTTCTCCCTAGCTCGCCCACCTCTTCCTCTGTCACAAGTAAACAAGTGCCATTTCCAGCTTCCTTGCCACCATTCTATCTTACATCCATTAAATTGCTCTTCAGATGCTACAAGTTGGTTTTGATGCCCTAAATGGCCACCCCAAAAGAGCACTGGACATGTCTCCAGCGTGCAGGTATGAATTGGTCTGCGCTGCCCACAGCCAGCCTTCAGTGGAGGGACCGGGGCAGGCTGGGGGCTTACGACAAGCTCAAGTCTTCAGACTGTATCACCCCAACACCTGCCTTTCCTGGTTCCAGCAAAACCAGAAGTGACGTTCCAGAATGACCACAGGGGACCACACTTGCTGAGAGGCAGGAAGCACTAAGAACCTTTTTAAAATTTTTGTGAGACTTCCGAAATCCAGAGCCCTGAACACCTCCTGAGCCCTGAACACCTCCCATCCTGGTTCTGATCAGAACAGGGCGTGGAGGACCATGGACTCCAGACATACTTGATTCCCTCAATAAATCTTTCCTGGCTCCAGCTCCCTAGACTGCTGGGCCCAAGGCTGGGGCTTCGCAAATAACTTGGCTGTTTCTGGAATGCAGGGACTTCTTTCTCCATGGATCTGGCTCTCCATCCACTCTCTTGGTGGTCAGAGGACCAGCTGGGGATGAAGAGGCACTAACCCTAAAGCAGGGAATCCAGATTCTCGTCCAGGTTCACCACCCTTAACCACAGCATTGGCCAAGTCACCGGACATCCCTTTGCCCCAGTTTCTTCAATATTAAAACGAGGAAGCTAGCCCAGAACAGACTCTCAGCCTGCTTGGATCATGGATCATGATCTGCTGAGACCACTAACAGGGTTCCTGCGGACCCATATAGAAACGAGGAGCCACAGGGTCGGCCCAGTGGCGCACTGGAGAGTGCGCCGCTTGGGAGCGTGGCGGCGCTCCCGCCGAGGGTTCGGATCCCATGTGGAGACCGGTTCCCACTCACTGGCTGAGCGCAGTGCAGGCGCAACACCGTGGGTTGCGATCCCGTTACCGGTCAGTAAAAAAGACAAAAAGGAAAAAAAAAAAAAAAAAAGAAACGAGGAGCCACAGACAACTGAAAAAAGGAGCCACTCAGAGGCTGGTGAGTCATCGCAGGGCCCGTCCCATGGGAAGGGTTTGCAGTGTGGGTGGTGGGGGAGACAAGCCCACCAGGGGAACACCGGCACACAGCATGGACAGCTGATCTGCTCTCCAATCACTGTGTGTAGACTGGTCAGGAATACAGAACTGCAGGGGGTGCAGTTTGCTGAAAAGACTCAGGCTCAGACCAGAGTTTCCGCACAACCCAGGTGCACCAGATCTTACAAGACCCAGAAGTACCTATAAAGTCAACCATTAAAACCTGATCTGCACAAAAAGCCTTCCCCAGAGAATCAGCAGCAAAGCAGCAGTTTAGCTCAACCACAGGGCTCTAGTGCTGGTCCCCACAGGAAGTTCCCCCATTTTAAGTAAGCAAAGGACAGCAAATTAGTTCCAGTGCAGAGTTTAAGTGGTAAGAACAGCAAATTATCCAACACAGAACTGAAAGAAAAAACAAAATACCGACAGCCCAGAGACAAAGTTTGATATTAAGTAGTAAAGGTCTAACACCACCAAAGAACACCTATGAACCCTAGAAGGACCAGAAGCCCCCTGGGATACCCAGCTGGGGTGGTGGGGGGCCAAGGCCCTCAGCCACACACCCCCAACATCCACACCAAGCCCAGGGATGACCACTGAGCCGCCACTGGAAGCCCCCTGGTCTCCCCTGCTGGAACGAGAGGGGTGCCACAGGCCTCGACCATGCCCCTCCTCCTTTCTACTCCTCCACCCTATTTTCTTCCCCATTTCCCTCCCCCCTGCCCCCCAACAGCTCCACGACAACATCTTAGAATGTATAAAATAATAATAATAATGATAAATAAATTAAAAAATAAAAGAAGGCTCACAGCAGTTTTGCATTTGCACAAGATGACCTACAACACTGGGAGAAACACCACTTTAAAAGCACTTCCCACCTTTAATTCAAGGAACAAGTATCTTATGTTCAGATCTGTAGGATCTTAAATTTCAAGGAGATAATAAACTTCAGAGCTTCCCTGCTGTGAAAAATATTTCCACCACACCAGGTCTTTCCCTCCCAAACCTGGGTCTTTCTTTCCCAAGGTATGTAATTGGTTTATTTCACCTCTTCACAACGTGGAGAGTTTTAAATTCATTTTTAAAAACCAGTCTATGTTCATACTGACCTTCTCTTCATTTCCTCTTCCCCTACAGGGAGCAGTTAACCAGACACAAATGCCACTCACAAGATTACCATTTCTGTAGGAAACGGCACAGCCAGCCTGCAGAGCCCAGTCCAAACAGTGCTGGGTGTGATGAACGGCAGATCAACAGGGCTGCAGCTCCACAGGACCATTTAGTCAGGGCACCAAGCTGGACACGGACAGCCACCAACTGGCTCCAAACACAGAGGGGCACCAACACCACCACAAACACACACGCACGTGCACGCGGCTTTCCACCTGTCACTCCTTCCCACCCCGCACCCACCATTCACGACACACCCATACATGGGTCCAACAGTCTCAACTCACGTCTTGGGCCTCCACTCATGAGGAGGCTGCCTCCAGAGAAGCGGCCAGCTCCATCATTCGAGATGACTCGAGACCTGGACGGCGGCAATGCACTGGACTTTCTCACTCTCTGTTCACACGAGTGACCTAAATGAAAAACACCCCCTGCATAAGATGCTAACACCAAACAAGAGTGTGATGGAGCAGGTCAGTCCACCCTACAAGGAGTTCTGGCTTTCTAATGGCCCCCGCACACCCTGACGTGCTAGCGCTCCCCAGGGCCACTCTGCTCTGAATCTGCCTTGCAATGACAGAGGGCAGGTGGGAGCTCGCTTTTCTTGAACTCTTGCAGCTCTAGGTTTCCATTCTCTTGCCATCTCAGCAGCAGCCTCTGCCTTCCTGGGATGGATGAAAGAAGCAGCGCTCACAGCTCACTCACACGCGGATCCTTACCTGTGCTTCTCTGGACTGCAGTGTGGGATGCTTCACAAACGTGGACCTCAGTCTTCTGAAGGTCACACTGTTCAGGGAAAGGCCTTGGTGCACTTGTGTGTGCAAACGTCTGACTCCACACACTCATGACAGTGAAAGAGCCTCCACAAACTGGAACCTTCACTGGAGTATTTTCACCACAGAAGCCTTTGGAGAGCAGCAGCATGGCCTCAGGATAAACGTGTCCACAGAGCAGGCTCATGGCCTGGCTTCCCCCAGCTGAATGGGGAGTGGTGCCCTGTGAACCTGCAGATGTGAGTCCCAGGGAGAGGCAGTATTGCCCAGGGCACACTCTCCTGCAAAGAGGGTCCCACAACCTCGGCAAAGATGTTACCTCCACTCAGGGCAGGGCCAAGCACAACTAACGAAGCCACGTCCCAAAATGAACCACCCAACTTGCACACAAAATGCTTGTACTATAGATTTCCCCAATCCCAACAAGATAGTGTTGAATACTTGCAGGCCTGGGGCGTCTGGCAGTCTTCTCAGGAGCTCTTAGGAGCAGCATCCCCTTGCCCTGGGTTTCCCACCTCTCTGTGTCCCGTCCCTCCCTGCCTTCCTGCAGCCCCAGGGGAAGGAGCTGTCTTCTCCAGTCTTTCCTGCTCAGCTGGGCCCCTCCTCTGATGCTGCAGACCCATCTGCTACTCTGGGTCCCTTCCCCTCTTGCCTGCCAGAGCTGCTGTTCTAAGGGGCAAGCTCAGTGCTAGGCGATTTGCACAACCATCTGCCCACAGAGGTGAGCCATGTCCTCCAGGTTCTCCTGGTGACGAAGGTGTATTTCCATCTCCAGCAGCCTGACAGTCGTGTCTCTTTAGAAGGGTTCTGAAATGAGGTTGGAAGGGGAGTGCCTGTCCTTCCAGGGACTTGGCAGGTCCTTGAGCAGCACTGAGGGAGCGCATCCCCTCCAGACCCGAGGGACAGCAGCCTGGGTTCTGAAAGGACATGCAAGCTGGATGCTGAACTACAGCTGGTGACCCTAAAGGCACTGGTGCAACAGGAGGCCATCCCCCCAAAAATACTGGCAAGGGCAAAGGCCTCAGTTTAGGGGTGGAGGAAGGCTAGATTTAGAAATTACAGACAGGCTGAAGTCAATCTCTCGTGAAATTCTAGGAGAGGTTTACTTAACAGACAGACTGAAAGCTAATTTATATAGCAGTGAACAAAGTCCCTTCCCTCAAAGAACCTACATTCCAATGATTTTTAAATTCCTTCAGTCATCCTGAGTGTTTTCTGTGAGTCTCTGCACACACCGGGCGCGCCTTCCTGCCCCTTCCTGCAGATGGAGCTGTTTGTGGTCGCCCGCCCCTGCCTTCTTCACAGGGTGGAAAGTGATTCTGGCAAGTGCCTGACCTGTCAGCTGTCTTCCCTAGCACCAGTGAACGCGCAGAAGCTCCTGCTCGGAGCATCCCCCAGGAGGCAGCTGCCAAAGCTCATGGGGGTCAAACAAGGGCCAGGCCACCTACTCACACACGCTGAGGACTCTACTCTTAGAGGACAGGTTCCATGTGCCGGGCACTCACAGCCATTGCTGCTGAGGGCCAGCGGGCAGGCTGTCTCCTCCCACTCCTGGCAGTGACCAGGAAGGCCATTAACACATGTGTCTATAATCTCTTTCTGGGGGAACGCTGTTCTAGCTGAAGTCCCAGTAGCTGACACCCCCTTATCCTACTGTTCTTCCTCGCTGACCTCAACACAGCTGGCGACACACAGTGGTAGCAGCGGTGACCCCCACCCCTCACCCCTGCTCACGGGCCCATGCCACACCGACAAAGACGCAGCCTCAGCTTCTCATGGCATCTGCAACATCCACCTGACCTCACTCTGAGCCGCTTCCTGGGAACAAGCATGTAGAATAAGAATCGTTCCAGTCTCTCTACTGCCCCTGGAGGCCTCTCCACCAGGTCCACTTGCCACGGCCCCCTCTTCTACACTCTGCATGGGGTATCCACCTTCCCCTTCAGATTAAAGCACATGACCTTCAAGCTCGGGCTGAGCCTCTTGTCAAAACACATTCTTCTCCATGGGATCCATTTTTTACCCTAGATAGCATCATCGTCATGGGATCATGATTCTCATCCCTACAAAAGGAACCCTGGCGTCAGCGCCCCTTTGCATGGACAGATGTTCATGTCTCGTGGCCTGAGTTATCTTTTGAAGCCCAGGAAGAACAAAATTCCAAGGCAAGATGGGCCTTAGGCTTGCTTATCAATCCATTTGTTAATCTTTCCACCAGCACTCTAGGTACACAGGCAAACATGATGACAAGCAAGAAATGGTCACTGTCCTCAAGGAATTCCCAGACTTGTGAGGGGAAATGGCAGAAAACAAGCAGAACAGGGCAGAGACAGAGTGTCCAGCAGGGCTGATAGGGCACAGGCGCCTAATCCAGGCCCAGCCATGGGTACCACAGCCAGAACTCCAGCACAACATTCACGCCAGGGGCCCCCAGCCTCACCACCTTCCACATGATGGAGATGAGGTGCCCCAGGCCCCCAAGTCCCTCTGTTTCCCTCCCACAAGCTCAGAGGCGGCCAAAGCTCCTTGCTGTCTGCGTCGTTTCTTCCCACATGAATTCACAGCAGGGACAGTGGTTCATGGGCTGACAGGTCTCGGCAAGCTCTCTGCCACATCCCAAGGACCTGCTCCAAGAAGAAGCAAGCCTCCCAGGGACCTGGCATGTGGCACATAGCACCTGCACTCACAGTGGGGCAGCAGTGTACTCATCCCACAGCCGGGGGAAGCTGGAACCTTCCATAGCTCTCTCGACCACCTTAATCTGCTGGCTGGTGGTTCCCTGAATCTCAGGCAAGGAGGCCTGGGGCCCACCCACATCTAATGAAACGAGCACCAGCCTATTTGAAGGCTGGTGATATGCACAACATTGAGAGATACAGAGTCCAGGGAAGCGGCTAGAAGGTCGGCATCAGGTCGAGATAGCTCACAGGGACAGGCGACCGTCGTTCTGGGAGCTCAGGCTCTCATGAGGGACAATGACAATCTCCACAGCAGGCAAGAAAAGCAGGATCCCGTGGGTCACCTCACAGACAAGCCATGCTGTTGGGCTTCATTACCATTTCCTCCTACTGTATTTATACTTAGAGCATTGATTTGTTTACAAGATGGGAAAAAAACTGGTAAGCTTAATTAACATTTGCACGCTGACTCAAATAGGATAAACGGATGGGAAAAACACTGGATTTCATCAGGGCACAATGTGTGATCTTAGATTGGTGCAGGTTTTCTTCCCCTTCAGTTAGACAGAAAGTTAGTCTGGGGATCAAGACATTGGCTACAGGGATGGAAATCCCTCCACACACACAGGGCTCCTGACACAGCCCCACAGATGCGGCCCCACGGCTGCAGCAACCACACCTCGGTCCCCTGTCAAAGTCTATCGCTACCTGGTATCCTTGAAGTGTGTGGTCTGCAAACACACATCTGGAGAACACAGACACTCAGCCTTGGGCCGTCTGCCCTGATGCCTGCCTCCCCTGGGAAAGCCCCTCCAGGAGGCTGCAGAACATAACAGACAACCAAGCTCCAACTGAACCGTGGGATAAAAGACAATACTACGTTCTTGCAATCCCTATATGACAAAAGCTAACTGAGAGACAGGCAAAACAGGCTGCTGAGAAAGTCAAAGGGCCTGTCTGAGAGGAGACATCCCCAAGCAAGAAGATGGGTTTCTCCCCATTGTAAGACCTGCAGGAGCCTGGGCCTGTTCATGTCACATGCTTCCCGGGATGGCCTCAAACTGCAGCACGCGCTGAGATGCAGCCAGCCAGTGTGGGGTTCAACCCGGGCTGACGTGCAGGCTCTGTCCTGCTCTGTCACCCTGCAGGCTTCCACAGCCATCGTCCAGTGTGCTGGCTTACACCTGGTGCTCCATGCATAATAATAGTTTTAGAAGGAAATAAAAGCGGTAACACTTTTTTTTCAAATAATGCAAATGTAAAGAGGAGGCCACAGTGCAGCGGCACTGACGTGCTGCGTGCAGCACGCGTCCTTCGCTAGCTCTCCCGCACTGGAGTCTCTTGAGCTGGCTATCCCAGACTCTCTCCCCTGTGAGCTTATCTCTCCCTCACAGGCAAAGTGTGAAAATGACAATTTAAGATAACATATAAAGGAGCCAATCTTTCTTCTGAAGATAAGATTTTAAAACCTGGAGTCACTGTACATTTGCGGGCTGGTGAAATAAATACAAAAATACCCAACACGGTCTCAGAACCAGAACGCTTCTTGCAACTCCTTTAGCTGAGTGAGCCCCTGAACAATGCCTGCTTCTCACATGTGGCTAATTTATTTCTCCAGAACCTAATTGAGTTTTGCTGTTTCTATACTGTCTGTTTTCCAGGCTGCCTCAGATTTTACATTTGTAAACAAGCAGGCAGCAACCTCCAGCCAGACTTAATGAGCTGTGCGCTCGCTTCGCTGCTGCGGCTCCGCCAGCCTCTGTGCTGTCAGCACAGGGTGGATGTGGCCCATGGGGCTCCGGGGTTTAAAATCAGGCTGAGTTTTGAGGAATGGAAAATTCCCTAATAAACCAACAGAGGTTTGAGCCCCATCCAGACAGACCCGGCTCCAGAAACATCAAATGGCTTGGGTTTTGTTGTGCATTCAATTTTGCCCAGAAAAATCCCAAACCTTCCAGAGTAACCTCAAGGGAGATCCAGTGGGTTGTCACTAGACCACATGTGCCCTCCGCCCTGAGGTGGGCACAAGCAGGCACCCAGCCTTGTGTTCCACGATGCCTCTGTCCCCAGCCCCTTCAGCAGCCCATCCCATCAGAGCCCTCAATTGATGCGTCTGGAATGTCCCTGGCAGGGTCAGCCTCAGTCACTCCCAACCCTGCCCACCACAGGCCCAGGTACGTGGAAGAGTGAAAACCAGGGCTTTGCTCAGTCTCTCTGATGAACAACCTTGGACACTGTCTGATATAAGGCCATGGTGCTGGGCTCCAAAAAAGCACTCTTCTCTGATCTCCTGTTCCCGAACCACAGGGAAGCTTAAGAACATTTCTCTTTTCCCTCCTCTGTGATGAGACAGTTTGGTGGGCTGGTACTTCAAATGAAAATCTCTCTTGGAACTTAGCCACTTTATCTGAGGATTGTCATAGAGCTGCCCCATGGATAGCACCAAGAAACACAACGTAGGCAAGCCTGAGATGACTAATGATCTCGAATCCTGACCAGAAATAAAAACATACCAAACAACTGGTGCCAGGAGACTTGGTGGTCGAGGACAGGCTCAGTGGTTGAGGACAGACTTTCCCTTGCCATGCTAATAAGAATTCTGCTGATTTCCTGCTAAGTGCATGACGCCTACAGTGTGGCCACTGCCCTGAGGGAGCCGCACTGGGAAGATAATGGTGCTGACATGGGAGAAATGGCAAGAAGGCAGGCACAGCTGCCGGGGACTCTTACCCACGTTGGCCAAGGTCAGGTGCAGCCAGCCCTTCACCACGGTGTGGACGCCGATGGGCCTGACACTGCCAAGCCTGGACACATCTCCACTCACCACCACCATGTCCTGCTCATATTCAGTCGCCACAACCTCAAGCTCATGGGAGACCTGCACGGCTGGCCGCCCTTGGCGGAGGAGATGCTGCAGAGGAAAAAAATGCACTCAGAAGCTAGAGTCTAACAACAGCCATTTCCAAGTGGCCCTGCAGATATAAGTGGCTCCCCGACCCACCAAGAAAGGCCAGTAAGGAGGAGGTGGAAGGAGCACCCTAACTCTGTACCACCTCAGAGAGGAGACTGAGGCAGCATCTTAAAAACTGGAGTCCTTAATATCGGAGTCTTTTTCACAAATTCTTTAATAAAGTGCAATCCAACTCATGTACTGAATAAACACCACTAGGCAATGGGGACACACAATGGACCTGGCTGCTGTCCTGGAGGATCCACCTCGCTGTAGGAAGGCTTAGAACAGAGGGCAACAGAATGACACAGGGAACACCAACCAAGCCCAGCTCCAGGGACAGCAAAACACTCCAAGACAGAAATCTGAGCTGAACTTTCAGAACAAAGACGAGCCCGTGGGCAGAGAAAGCTGGGAGGCACGCACCAAGGGCACACACAGCACAGGACCTCCCAGGGCCAGGCTCCCCTTCCACGTGGCTGCAGGGGAGACTGTGGGTGCAGGACCCTAGAGCGCTGGGTTGAGGCCAGGTGGTGAGGATCTCCATGCCAGGCCAAGGCTGCTCAGAGCAGGGTGAGAGCAAGACAAGCCCAGGCCCAGGGCAGCATTAGAAGGACTTTCTTGGAGCCGGCCCGGTGGCACACTGGAGAGTGCGCCGCTTGGGAGCGCGGCAGCGCTCCCATCGAGGGTTCGGATCCCATGTGGAGACCGGTTCCCGCTCACTGGCTGAGCGCGGTGCGGGCGCAACACCAAGGGTTGCGATCCCATTGCCGGTCCCCAGTGCGGGCACGACACCGAGGGTTGCGATCCCGTTACCGGTCAGTAAAAAAGACAAAAAGGAAAAAAAAAAAAAAAAGAAGGACTTTCTTGACCATGGTCTTCTCTGCTTGTCGAATTTAATCCCTCAATTCCCTGCTTGGACTCAGAAAACACTCTTCAGGCAAGCCTGGAGGAATGTGATGAACCAGCCTCACCCTGGACATTCTTTACTATGTTCCCTTGGGAAAGTCACCTGTCCTCTGTGGACCAGAGCATCCTCATACATAAATGAAAGTGTGGGAACAGGTTTCAGTCCCAGCTCTTGTCATTCTCGTACTTCTCCCACAGCAACACAAGCACCTGCCTCTGGGGCTGCAGACCCAGACCCGACCCCTCCCTAGTGGGTCTGGGAGCTCCCAGTGGCTTCAGACACTGCTGGCTCAGTGATGCTTGTCCACACTGCTCATGTTCATTGCATGCACATCTATGGTTTAAGGAACCTCAGCCAGGGGAATATGTAAAGACTCCCTTGGAGAACAGCCAATAAGCATAAGAAACAATGTTCAGCCTCACCCGGAAGCAAAGAGATGCAAATAAAAACAAGGTATCGGGCCGGCCCGGTGGTGCACTGGAGAGTGCGCCGCTTGGGAGTGCGACGGCGCTCCCGCCGAGGGTTCGGATCCCATGTGGAGACCGGTTCCCGCTCACTGGCTGAGCGCGGTGCGGGCGCAACACCAAGGGTTGCGATCCCATTGCCGGTCCCCAGTGCGGGCACGACACCGAGGGTTGCGATCCCGTTACTGGTCGGTCAGTAAAAAAGACAAAAAGGAAAAAAAAAAAAAACAAGGTATCGGGCCGGCCCGCAGGTGCACTGGAGAGTGCGCCGCTTGGGAGGGCGAAGGCGCTCCGCCGAGGGTTCGGATCCCATGTGGAGACCGGTTCCCACTCACTGGCTGAGCGAGGTGCGGACGCAACACCAAGGGTTGCGATCCCATTGCCGGTCCCCAGTGCGGGCACGACACCGAGGGTTGCGATCCCGTT